TAAAATACAACAGAAACACAAAGTAGTACTGACAGCCATAATTTCAGCTTGTGGTAAACAGTGCAACGTTTTTAATTTAGCATGTGAAAGAACAAATTACACATTTGTGTGCACAGTGGGAAGCAATATCCAATAACATTTTTTAAATGAAAATTTTGGAAAGTATTCATTATTGGTCACTTGATAGACACACGGTCTTGTTATATATCACCATTAGCAGTAAAAGAAATACATGTTTTCCACCAGGGCAGTAAGACGTGAAGTTTAGCTGCTGATCTGAGCTTCCCTGCTGTTTCTGTTTCATTACCAATAATATTCATCAGCTGTTTGTCTCACGAAGGTAACGGCACATTTCTGTCCACATAACAGAGCCACAACAGAGTCTGGAGAAGAACTACATGAAGTTACAATCTAACTACATGTTTTTTCAAAGTTTAGCTGGCTGATCTGAGCTTCGATGCTGGAAGGTGCGATCAGCTGATTTTCACGAATATAACATACAAAGCCAAAACAGAGCGCTGGAGAGAGAGAGAGAGTCACTACATGAAACTAATTCAACTAACATAACACCACAAGCCAAAGCACAGCGCTGGAGAATAAACCAATCCAACTAACAATAAATGTTTTTCTACCAGTCAGTAAAAGTTTAGCTGGCTGATGCTTCCATGCTCTAAGCTGACGTTAGGGTTTTATTGCCAATTAACGTTACTGATCAGCTGATTGTCTCGCTAACGTAATAAGTAATAAGTAGGCCACATGAAATTAATCCATATTTCACACCACTGACAGGGGAAACACGGCTCTCTGTGATAAAGCTCTCACACAGCAGTTTGCATTTGCATCGCTAAAGACTGACAAACAAAGTTCATTACCTGTCCAGCAGAAAACAGACAACTTCAGCACCGCTTTGAAAACATCTGTCCCACATTAATTTTATAGCCTTCCATCTGGGAAAATCCACAACATCCGTGATTTCTGCCGTCAGCTGTCGGCTCTCGTGCTAAATAACACGTGTGCTCCTTCAGTTGTCCAAATGTCACTTCTCTTCTTACTTCTAATAAACCAGAAGACTACTGGGAGACTGTATATTGCTATTATTATTATTATTATTATTATTCCCTCTTCTTCTTCTTTGTACGTATTCAATGTAGTGACGGGCTTCTGCACTACCGGAATTACACAAGCAGAAGAAGAACGCCGTGATGACGAAACGCGCTCTGTAGCGCTGTTTGTTCGTTGGCGGCTACGGTAGAAACATGACGACAAAATACAGCGACCTCCACAGCAGGGGGTTCATTATGTAAGGTCTTTATACACCACTGAAAACATAGTTATGGATCTTATATTGCATTTCTGTCAATAGAGCCTCAGAAATATTACACACTTTAATAATGTGCCGTTTCAAAATGGCACATATTCAGCCAATCATGTGAGTCCACTGTCGTCAGAGCACAGCTGAGATTTGCCACAGTTTCAGATGCACTACATGTCCGCCAAAATACTACGTGGAAAGGCTCCAGATGTGATCTGCAGTACTTGCAGTGGTTCCTTCTATAAATACGGTATATGCTGACTGTATCCATATCATCAGTTAGCTTAGCTTTTTTTCACGACCTCCTGTAGTAGAAGTATAACCTGTGGGGAAAAACACTTTTTAAATCTTTTTTTGGGGCAAAGTCATCAAACTGTTTCAGATTTTCATGCTGATTCTCTACATGCAGGTTTTATGTCTCATGTGACCAGTGAAGGAGCAGTTATGGCTCTCTGCCCGTTCATTTAGAGAGAGACCTGATCTCGTTAGTCCCAAATACCTGAGGCGTTACCAAGATGGCTGCCTAGTGGTGGGCCTTGCCTATATAAGGACTTTGGTGTTTGTACTTTTAGTTTGGCAAAGGATTTGAGTACTTCCTCGTCGAGTTTAGTTTGTGAACATGGAGGCGTTGATGCTCAGCTTGGCTCAGGCAGCAGGAGGCAGTGGGAGGAAGCACCGGATGGTCTGATGGTATCTCCTGTTCTACAGACGTTATTACCGTCTGGATCTATGCGCTGCAGGAAGCTGAGCAACTGTGAGTTGGATTATGAAAGGAGTAGATAAGAGGATTATTACAAGGAAAGCTGGATTCTCTTTTCATCTTAATAATAAAGAACTAATATAAGAACTGCAGAGAGAACCAAGACTTCATTTCTTATGTCCGTCCAGTAAGAGATTATTAGTTGAGTTGTTGATAGACAGAAAATTAATAAACAAACATTAATAAACAAACATTTTATTTTGTGATTGGATAATAAAATAAAACTAATAAAAAGTAACTTTCTACCTTTGACATAAAAACTGTTTTCATCAGGCTGTCCTCACCAGAGAAACGGCCGTACAGGTCGATTATGCAGCAGCTTATTACGACCCATATTTACGTTTTTTTGTTAGGCTACAACCTCTAGTGGCAACAACATATTGAAAAATCAACTAATAGTTTCAGATTAATTTTGTGTTCATTGCCCTCTTGCTCCTCATCTAGTGTAGAAAAGTCATTTTGAACAGAGAGCTTTTAGCAGATGTGTGTGTTCCCAGTGTTTCAGGCTATAATGTAATATTGAACAGTGCACTGATGAGAAACCATTTATATTTGAGAGCATCAGCAGAATGTGCGGTTATAAATCATACAGACAAAGTAGAAAACCTGCTTTCTAACGTCCTCTCCTAAAAAGCCTCTCTGTTTTTTCATCAGCTCTCCTCTTTAATGAGATGCAAAGCCCTAATCAATGCTCGTTAGTCATTCTGCGGGGCACTACACTTGGCATGCTGGGAAACTCCCTGAGGCCCTTCGCTCCATCTTTTTAATTTATTCCCGTTTGTCATGTGACCTGCGAATGCACTCAGACAGAGTTCAGAGAGGACGAGGCAGCTCATGAGATGCAGCTGCGACACAAATACGCTCATCACAGCTGCTTATTCATCAATAAAAACACTGATTAGATATCAACTACATTATTCACAAGTTATCTTGCTTATAATTCAAAATGCTCTGTTGAGTTGCATACAGAACAGAAAAAGAATAATATCCCTTGATGTAGGAGAAATGTAGTAAAGTGGAGGTCTGGAAGAGTTTTATACTAGCAGATAAGTTTAATGATTGAACCAGGACCACAGCAGCTAGCTCTCTGAACCAAAATGTTGTTCAACTGTTAGCTAACCTGAACAAACTAATTTAGTAGCAAAATTGAACCACTAACTATTTTACATGTTTAAGCTCCTTCTTGCTAACACAAATTAAAAAGTTGTTAACGTTAGCCGCTAGATTTGAACCATTAGCTAACTTAAACCGAACTGTCACTAAATGAAGCCATTAGCTAACCCAAATCAGACTATATTAGCTACCTAACTCATTAATTAGCTGTTAGCTAACACAAACCAAACAATTTTAGCAGCTACGATGAACTACTAGGTAATTAACATGTTTTAGCCTTAAACTGTTTGCTAACAAAGAAAATTACTAAAGAAGACTATTAGGTTCCCTGAACCATCTACAACAATGCTTAAAATGAACCATTTGCTACCAAAAGCTAGCTCCAAACGGTTTTATATTCTTACCTGAACCTTTAGTTAACAAAACCGTTGATAAATGTAACTAATTAACCTGAAACATAGCTTTAATGAGTTAGCAATCAAAAGCTAGCTTCCAAACTGAACGTTTAGCTAACCAAACCATTGATGTGACTAAATAATCTGAAAAATTAGGTTAAATGAAAAGTTAACAACCAAACGCTAGCTTCCAAACTGTTATATATATATTCTAAACAGAATTGTTGGCAAACAAAACTTGTTAAATTTAACTAGTTAACCTGAAACAATTGCTTGAAAAGTTAACTACCAAACTGAACCATTAGCTTTTAAAAGCCAGCATCCATTCGCCAGCCAGATATCTAGAGCGCTAAATATCTGGAGCCGTCGGCCGCTTTGACATCCACATCCAGTCTTTGACAGCAGGCAGCTACTTTTTCACAACAAAAAACTTTTTACTCACCTCAGTCCCTGCTACTCGCACGTGCTAATCCATTCTTTCTCCCAGATTCTTTGTCTTTATAATTCTTATCGTTATAATAATAAACAACTCCTGTTTACTATGTAGTTCCGTCTCATTTCCTGTTTCAATTTTAGCGTCTGTTTTGGTTTGGAGACGAGATAGAGTCGTCAGGTGATGGAATTTTTGTTAGCTCGTGTAGTCTGTGACCGCCTGTCACCGATCAGTCACGTAGTGTGAACACCACAAAAACTTCCAATACAAGACAGCATATCTTGTAGCCTAGTCTGAACAGCACAGCGATCTGCAGACGCTAAAGGTCGTGTAGTCTGAACAAGCCTTAAGCTGGAACCAAAAGTGAACTTGAGCTTCTTTACAGATTACATTAACTTTTATCTAAAGCGACAATTGCTGTATATGTCAGAGGTCGCAAGCCAGGGACACAATGGCAGATGTCTCATAGTGGGAATTGAACCCGGGTCTCCCACACCTAAGGCATGCATCTTATCCATCACCACCCCTGCTGCTGAAACTGAGCCACGTGCTGCTTTGCTCACCAGCGCAGAGACGCTGAGGACGGTAATTACATGCACATTGTGATGGAGATGATCTGCACTTGAAGCAGGCGTCCAGCTGAAGGACTCTCTCAATAAAAACACCAGTTACTGTTGATGACACTGTTAATTACATTCAGAGTATTTGTCTGTTCCTGCCTCGCCGAACACGGAGTTCATGCTCATTTCCCACATTCTCTTTTACCTACTCGTGCTTTTAAAGTGTTGCCAGATATTCACTATTCCACTGCTTGTTATGTTATTTGGTTTAATTTGCAACGGATGGTCAAAATCTAGTTCGAGAAATTCTGAATAGAATCTAAATCCGTGTCAAACTGGAATGAAACATGCGGTACCTAATTATGTGAACTTTCATTTGACAGATTTGTCTTTAATTGCACATTTCCTCTCTTCATTTCTTCCTCAGTATACAGGTCATCTATCCAGAGGTGGACTCCAACTCCCAGAATGCCCGAGCAGAGTAATGACTACCGGGTGGTGGTGTTCGGAGCCGGTGGGGTGGGGAAGAGCTCATTGGTCCTTCGGTTTGTCAAAGGAACCTTTAGAGACACCTACATCCCCACTGTAGAGGACACATACAGACAGGTAGGACACCCCTCCCTCCCACCTGAATTATTGATCTGTACCTGCTCTCTCTGCTATGGATCAGTACATGCTCTCTCTGCTGTGTCTCTGCAGGTGATCAGCTGCGATAAGAGCGTCTGCACGCTGCAGATCACAGACACAACAGGAAGTCACCAGTTTCCTGCCATGCAGCGCCTTTCCATCTCCAAGGGCCACGCCTTCATTCTGGTCTACTCCATCACCAGCCGCCAGTCTCTAGAGGAGCTCAAACCCATATACCAACAGGTCTCCATCTTTTCATTTCTAGAAGACAGTCAAACAGTAACCTCATTAAATATCTGGCCTGTGATGTAGTATGCCTAGCTTATGGTTAGCAGGGGTTGTCTTTATTTGTGTTTCTGCTATAATACGCTGAAGTCCTGCTGTACATGTGGTCTTGTATAATGTGGGACATTAAATGTGACATCCAAACAGAAACAGAGATTGAGCCGGAGTATGTCATTGCAAAAATTAATCCCCTTAAATCTTATTTCTGTGATAAGGGTTTTCCACAAAAGGGTTAAATGCAAAGTTACATTTTCTCCCTTAAGTATTTCCAAGTAATCCAGAATTTATGAATATGCAAATGCATTCTTTTTTCATGTTTTTATGTTCATGGCCATATTCTTTGGAAATTCTCAGTGTACGTGCATTAGACGTTTCACGTTTCCACATCACACTTGTTTAAAGGCTGTAGAATACTCATTTTCAGGTTTCTACTAGAACGTGTTTACATGCTTTAATGTTTAAAAACACATTTTTTCTCATCCTGTCAGTTGTTTCAGCTCCTCTTTTCAGCCTCTGTCTGAACACTCAGTTTTTGCTCTTGTCTCTTTAAGACCCCCTCCCTGAAACTTATTACTGCTAACAGTAGCCGCTGCTAACTATTCAGTTAGCCGTGCAGCTAGCCGTCCTATTGCTTATTCTGCCCTGACTGGAAGCTTGGTGCTCCGGGGGTTTGTTGGTGTTTACCTGTCCATCAAGAAACTTGATCAACAATCACAGAGTTGAGGCAGAGCAGCCAGAGGACATCATAAAGAAAACCAGAAAATATATCCCTTTCCTTCAGAACTGTAAAAGCACTTTCTGTGAGACACTGAACAACCTCCGGGTGCTCTTTTAAATGATTCTCTGGAACGTGGGCTGGTCTGTGTGCAGTTTGGGGCGTAAACATTAATGATCACAGAAGTTACGTCACATCTAGCGCTTGTTGGCATTCGCCTGTTTTCTGGGGTATTTTGCATGCGCAAGATTTACATTTGCAAGAGGAAACAATGGAGATTGAGTCTCACAGTATGTCAGTACCACATACTGAAATCCTTTTATTTAACTATGCCAAGGTAAATACAGTTTTCTATTCTACGGCAACTTTAAGGTGCTTATTGGACCATAATTGTCTTCTAAACACGTTGTGATGTCTCAAATTGTGCTTGTCCTGTCAACCTGTGTAATTGACGTGACTTTAGCTCACTTGACGTTAGCTTGAAAGTCGTGAAGCTGCATTCTCCAGAAATGTTGTTTTAAATGTTACTTTCTAAAAACAGGTAACTTGTAGAGGCCTCCAAACGACGAGTTGCTGACTGACTTGATCCCATGTCCCTCCAGGTTCTCGCCATCAAAGGCACCGTGGAGTCCATTCCCATCATGCTCGTGGGCAACAAAAGTGACGAGACGGCCCAGCGTGAGCTGGAGACGAAAGAGGGGGAGGCTCAGGCCGCCGCCTGGAAGTGTGCCTTCATGGAGACGTCAGCCAAGACGAACTCCAATGTGAAAGAACTGTTCCAGGAGCTGCTGGCCCTGGAGAAGAAGAGGGACATGAGCCTGAGCATCGACGGCAAGCGCTCGGGAAAACAGAAAAGAGCCGACAAGTTGAAGGGGAAGTGCAGCATCATGTAGAGTGAGCGGCGGCGGCATTGACTCGCTGTAGAGATGTGGAGCAGCAGAGACACTCCCCATTTTTCCCCTGCTCTGCATCTCAGAGGGCAGGTCTTCTTCTTTGGTGGCGCTCCTGAACACTGAAGCCCAGAGGAACAAAATGAGGAACTATTTATGCCAGGGGCCTCAGGCTTGTCCTGGATCCTGAACTGGATTGTGTTTGTGGTCATAAAATATTTTAACATAATATACACACTAACTAACTGCTGCTACCTATAACCACCACACTTACATTATAATAAAGGAATACTCCACTGAGTTTATGGGCATTTGAAGACTGAAAGTTCTCCACTGGTCTCAAACGGAGCCTCAAACCCGGCCAGAAGGTGTATCTTTAGGACCCAGTCTGACTGGTACTGCTAAATTTGAAAGATGAGTATATTTGCTTTACTTCAGAAGTTACCAACCTTTACTATTATTTCTGTTCTTTTTATGCCTTGCGAGTATCTGTAACCAAGAATTTCCCCTCTGGCATCAATAAAGTACACTGATTCTGATTACAGACCGTTAGCTCGCAAGGCTAATGCAACGCACTGGGTACACTGTGTTCCCATGATGACATGCAAGGATCCAGACAACTTGCAAAGTTAGAAAGAAGAAATTAACCTCAACCCAACCAACGCAACCTTTACGTAAACCGAATGGCCCAAACCCAAACCACACTCGTGAAATTTGTTTGGGAACCGTCGGGTTCAGGTTGGCTGAAGAGGGGATCAGATGATGGTTTTAAAAACAAGAAGGTCCCTAGATGTCAAATAGAGAGAGACTGACCAAAAGTCAGCGAGTTTGCTGGCTCTCGTTAGCAGGTTGCTGGAGAATAAATTCTGTTGAAGAGTAGGACAGAGCTGCTAACGTTAGCCTAAAGTCTGATAGCATCCAGGTCCAGCTAATGGTTCCAGCCCAAAGGTCTTTTCCATCGTTACCCTTTAACCCCACAAAAATAATGGAGCTAATGAAATGCTAACTCTTGGCCTTGGAAGTAATGTAAGATTATTAGTGTAGATAGTAAACGTTAACTTAAATCAGAGCATATAATCAATGTCACCTTTTCGTGATTTTGGTTTTGGAAAGACTAGACTGCCACATAGACACCTTGCTAACAAGCAAACTTTAAATACACTTACAGGCCTCACATGTGGTTTGCTTGGTGGCCCCTAGTGGTTAGCATTGGTTTGGATTTTGCTCTGGATTGGCTGACTTTTTGCCACAACAGATGCAACCATTAAACAGCTACAGATAAGACTAAACTATAGTGAAGTATTCCTTTATCTAATAAGACTGGTGACATTATGACTCCCTTCTTACAGCGGTAAACAATAGGAAGTCGTCGGCTCTGCTTCCTGCTGTTATTAGAGGAACGCCAACATACAAGCTACGTGTCTTTAGTTTCCATTTGGTCTGATGAGCTGACGGACTGCCGTGGAAACAGCAGACGTTCTCACGTTAAAGCATGAGGAAACTTCAAAAAGGCTTTGATGATTTCCACAAGCACAAGCCGGCCTTTTCACGCTGTTTTCATCTCTTGTCAGACTCGCTGGATACAACATCTGTTAGCATGAAAACAAATGCTGCTTACGGACCAGCAGTGGAAGCACGCAGCAGCAGCAGCAGTACGAAATGATGATCATCTCCAGAGTCAGATGTCACACATGGATATCGGTTTCATCTCAGTGTGTCCAGTACGGAGATAGGTCCAGGATGTGTTTAGCCTACCTTAGCATAAAGACTAGAAACGCATGGAAACTGCTAGCCTATCTCCATGAAAAGAAGGGGGAAAATCCACTTTACATCTAATTTTCTGATTGACAGAATAAACAAGCTAAGCACCAACATGTCTGGTTCTGTTAATAAGCCTGACATCTCCAAAAGTATATATTATATTTTTAGGTTTTTGCATTTATTGTTTTTTTTAATTAAGCATCGTCAGTGAAATCATATATAATATTCCCCAAAATAACATTTAAAAAAAAAAGGTATAAATGTACATTAATTTAGCTGATGCTTTTTTATCCAAAGCGACTTACAAAAACCCGGGTCTCACACCAAAGGCATGTGTCTTACCCACTGCCCCACCACCCCTAAAGAAGTATGAAGCCTTCAGCGTCTCAGAGGGAGCTGTATGATGTCTGATAAATGTCCTCAAGTCATGTAACTTGAGTTGGTGTCGGCTGAAGACTATGGGCCCTAGCAAAGCGTTGCAAAGCACAGTGCAAATGTTATTGCTAGTTTCCAACCGACACAGTTATCATTTTCACGCCAAGAGCTGAAAAGCACAAATGCACTTGCGCCCATCTGTGCGCCCATGGGAGTGTAAAATGAGGTGTGGTCAGGCAAATGGTTGGTGCGTTGCTATCTTGAGCAGCAGAAAGCGATTGCGCCATTGACCAAAAATAAACAGGTCTAAAGTCAGCAGCGCAGAATTTGTTTTCATCTCAGGGCATCAAATACTGATGCTTTCGGAAAGGGTGACATAGTTTTTAGACTAGAAGCTACCTTTCAGCGTCTGTGTGAGACGCTTCTGTTAGCTACATTTGTATTAAAGGCTTCGACAGCCCCCCAAAGCCCCTTACTCTATCACCAGCCTGTTCTCATTCTTAGGCATCATATCTACACGCTCTGAGAAAACCGTGGCTATTTTACACGAAACCTCAATTTTGCGTGTATAGGATACGACCCCAGGTGCGTGTGAATATGACACGCTGGGGTGACTGGAAACGCTAGTAGCGTTGCCGGTTTGTGTTCAAGCGGTTGACAGTCCCCCAAGGCAACTTACCCTAGCCTTAACCGTCACAGTGTGTGCCTAAACCTAAGGCAGTATATATATGCATGTTGACGTTGTGTTGCAACGCAATAACAAACTGCAGCGTATCACACACACACAAAATCGACGTTTTGCGTACAGTCGCTACGGTTTTGTCAAAGCTTGTGTATATACAGCCTATCACAGGGGTTTGTGCTTAAACCTAATGTGTCATGAATGTATGCCCCCCCCAAAGCTGTGCACATCGGCCCCCTTTGTGTTGCTGCGACTCAGCAAACTGCGGCGTTTAATATGGTTTCTGGCTGCCATGTGTGGTCTTTGCTATTAAATGTAGTGCCAGCGCTGGGTTTTCCTTAAGCTCAATCACATTATTATATTTCATAAAAAATAACTTTCCTGTGGTGTCTCCTCTACTGCTTCAAGTCTTGTTGTGTCAAGCTAGCATACCGACATCTTGGACCTATCTCTGTGCCGATGTCCTTGAAGAGAACAAGAGGACTTCTAGATATGGGACTGCTGCTCTACAGCAGGACAGAGGACCGGACATTGTCTGAGCAGCCGCTGTATATTTGAAATGCCTTTCCCACCACTTTACTTGACAGTTTTGTATATTATCCAAACATAAGTGAGCTTAAAAACATTACGAAGCACAAACACAACAAACTAAAGTCAGAGAGCAACAAGCCGAAAAGCACACATTCATCCATCTTTACCGTCAGTGAGTCGATCAGTTTCTGCACTTTTGAAAAACGCTCCGTGTTTCTTTTCTCTGTAAAAAGCTTTTTGACATGTTTTGTGTCTGAGATGTCGCCACACCTCCCCGCTACATCTCTCCGGCTTTAGCGATACTAAAAATGGCTATTAAAAAACTTTGTATGTCAGGCAGCGCTGAGAACTTAAACATAACGTTAGTTTCAGCAGGTTGCACGCAGCTGTTTCTGAGATCTGAACTTGTTCCTTCAACTTTTCATATGTGTAGGATTTGAGGAAACGCTGCAGCCTTCTGTAAAATACTGCTTTATTTTAGGGTCCCTCCTTTTTAGATTGTCCTCACCTGGGGACGGGCACAGCAGGTTCTTCATTGCCTAAACACTGAAAGAACCTTTAGTAGCCGCGCTGCACTAAACAGCTGTTGTCTGTTTTTACAGCGAAAGTAGTGCGACGTTATGAAAGTGCCACAAAACCACGTGAGGAGCGGGTCCGGGTCACTTTAACCATGTGAGCCACGAGCAAGTCTGTCACTATAAAGTCTTTTAGTAACAGACCTGCATGTATGATCCTGATTTTTGATTTGTGCCGTCAGCGGAAGGCAAAGACTAAAACACAGTCCTGTCAAGAAATGATTGGTTGCTAATTATGAGACTTTAGTTAGTGGAGTCTGTCAGCAACAGGAATTTCTTTGCTCATTTATATTTTCATTATTAAGTGGAAATTGCATTCCTGTTCGCTACCAACTAAACGCTCCTGTCACAGTTTATCACCAGTTGTTAATCTCCATCAAGCGATCAACTCAGCATTCATCACGTTTTGAACACTTTGCATTGGCAACCTGACAGAGAGCTCCAGATACTGGGCTGCTTTGTGGGGCTACGCAGGTGTGTCTCGATGAGGTGATGATTGACAGGTGTGCAGGTGGAGGTAAGTTCAGGTAAAAGGTGGAATTAATTTATTTCCATTTGTATTGTATGTAAAAGTTATCTCTCCACATAATAAACTGGGTTTGTAACTCAAAAGGAGAATGTGAAATCTTTATTTATGAGTATATTTAGTCTAAATTTAATCAACCCGTGTGTGAGGAGGGTCATGGACATGTTTTGGACAAACTGTGACAGGACTTTGGTCGGGTCGGTGTGTTCTGTGGCTTCTCATTTGTTTTGAGGGGAAATGTAAACTTTTCTCCAAATAAAAACAGCTCTGTTGTACAAAACATATAAATGTCTTTGTTTCTTTCTTTCATACACGGCTCGTCAGATTTGCCAACATACCTCCAGAGCACCAACATTATCACAAGTGCTTCTAGCTGGGAAACAAGCGTTTGGCCCCGACTGCTGACAGAACAGGTACAGTTCAAAGATGTGTTTGTTTCTTTTCAAAAGGGCAAAACTTACAGGATGGTGAAGCAGGCAGGGTCACACTAAGCAGTCAAACAAAGGCAAACAAGTCCAAAATCCAGAGTCCAGAAACAGGGATTGTTCAAGGCAAAACTGAGAACCTCCCACATGAGCAGGGCACAGCACATTTGGGTTTGGACTAAATAAAAAATAGTTGAGTTTGATTGATCATATATTTATACAAGCAACACACACATCTCTGCTACAAATGAACACGTGAAGTTTGTTTCTAGGACCTACCGTTTTTTTCCCAATTGCGCCTGAATGGCGAGGGAGTGAAGTGTTACAACTGACCCCGTGGGCGCGGTCAGGTGTAACACTCGCTAGAAAAGTCTGTTTAAATCAATTCAGTACAAATCTATCTGATTAATGAAATGATATCCATACACTATAGGTGAGCTTCTTATGGATCTATATATGACAGATAGATATAAATAAATATTGCTCTGGTGAGTCTGTCTTTGAGCCTGGTTAACACTTGCTTTAAGTTGGTCATGTGTTTCAAAACTGTACTGCATTTTAGGCAAACAGGCGGTTATTAAGATAATACATGATTAAATTCAGTAACTTACATACACAGCTCAGTAATGAAAAATAAGTATGATAAAGAAATGTACTTTTATTCCGCGAAAACACTCTTCCCTCCTACTATTGACAAAAATTAGTCCAATCTCTCTAAAAACTGGTGAGAAACTGTCTGCTGGCTCTTTGATAAACTGACCTGAAACACAACCTGCTCGACCCTGTGCAGCTCCCTATAATGTCTTGTTTTTGAAAAGATTATTATAATTATTATTATTATTAAAATTGCTCCCACTCTCAAAACTTTTAAATCTTGTCTAAAAACGTTTACCACATGTTAAAGATCATGTGACGTACTGAAGGTCCATAGGCCTGTTGCTGGACCTGCTTACCAGTCCTGGTTTCGGGGGAAATTCAGATGCTCACGTGGTTTGGGGACACTTGCCAGTCAACCAGGTATGTTGCAGTAATAAAACTAAGTTCCAAGAGGACGTCAGTGAAGCTCAGGTCGCAAACAAACCTGTGTTAAAGAAAATAAAATTAAAAGTCTAAGTGATGTAAAAAGTCTCACTTTAGCAGTTAGCTCACAAATTCAAATCACATGGCAGAAAACAAGCAATCTTCCAGAAGTCCTTCATCACAGCATCTTTAACACATTTTTAAATGACTAAAAACAAACTGAAGTCTGGTTCAGAGGTTTCTTTCCTCTTCTACTGAAGCAGGGGTCAAAGTAATCGGAGCAGCTGCGTGTCTAATAATCGTATTGATCCGTGTTGGAACTGGACGTCATTGAATACCTGCAGTCCTGCTGCCACCTGCTGGCGGATGTTCCACAGTTCTTCAGCTGAAACGCACAAAATAAAGAAGAAACTTAATCATAGTGTGAAAAAAAACATATTTTTCCAAACAGGCTATTTATAAAAGAATGTTTTTCTGTTGCATTGTGGGTACATAAACAGTGGTGAAAAAATAACTGCGTACATGTACTGCTGTACTTTCTTGAGTATTTCCATTTATACTTCCACTGCACTACATTTCAATTTGTACTTTTTACTTCAGTACAGTTATTTAACAGCTTTAGTTACTTTGCAGATTCAGATTGATAATACAAAATATTATCAACAAACACATTTTGGTGTATTAATACATCAATAAGACTTTATTGAAATCCACAAGCCACCCAGCAGTATTTAAAACATTATGAGATATGATATGATGTTCCTTTGTTGATCCCCTGTGGGTGAAAGTCACAGCAGCAATATAATACAATAAAGTAGTTAGTTACCAAAATGAAATATACAAACTGTAAATAAATACATAATGAAATGAGCTCCACGTTTACCAGCTGAATCATTAAAGTGATGAACACATGAATGCATCAATAACTATTACCCACTAATAAAATATATGTTATTCTGAAATGGGCCATTCTGTATAAAGAGTAGTTTAAGTTTTGGTACTTTAAGTATATTTGTATGCTAATATTGTTGTACTTTTACTTAAGCAAAAAAGCTGAGTACTTCTCCCAGCGCTGTCCATCAACACTTTATATTGAAAATAGTTTTTTAATATCTTTAATTTAGTTATATTTGTGTGTCTGCAGGTTGATTGTATGTTTGAAATACACACAGTGTGTAACATGTAGAGATCATTTTCTTTTTCCCTGTAAAGCACTTTGCTTTATTTTTCATCCACTGTGTTTGATCAACACTGAAGTTCAGATCAGAATTGACATCCACAACATTTTCATATTATGCAGTTAAATTAATATTTAACAATATTATAGTATTTAATCATCGTTAAATACTATAAGTAATTCGTATTATTTGTAGTATTATTGTACCAAACACATAAATAATGATAATGATTCTATCAGTATTTGCTGCCATCTTGTGGACTGCAGGCTGAATGTGAACTGGAAACAGATGCTGAGGGATTCTGGGACATTTTTCAAAGGTCACTATTCAGATGCATTGTGGGAAATGTAGGATCCAGTGTATTTGGCCCTACAGTCAGGATCCCTCCATCTCTGCCTCTCAGTGTACTTTCAGCGTAATAAACCTTAAACAGTTAGGATCAGCTGACCAGACAAAATCATGAACTAGTTAAATGCTACTAAAAGGACATTGAGGTGAAACTGAAGGAACTTTATATTTCAATAAATTAGTTTTTGAAACACATGTATTAGAAACTACTTGCTAAAAGATATTTACTTTATTATTATTTTACTGCAGCTCTTTTCCACTCTGGCTGCTTATTCATTAATAGATCATCATCTCTCTCCGTTTGGGTCTGTTGACCTCATTGTGGATGGTCTACTTACGTTTGGGGGCCGATGTATTAAAGTGAAAAAGAGCCAAATTATAAGCCAATGTTTAATTTTGAAAATAATCTGGATAGTAGAGCCCTTTCTGGGCTCTAATACCTTTTCCTAAATGGGTTATATTAATAAAACAGATTACAGTCTCAACAACTGAACATGTAATTGAACATCACTAAATGTTTGCTGCAGGAAGGTGCAACTTTTTCTACCATGTGTAACCAGAGAGTGAGAGAGAGAATAAGGATATTTTACCTTACACATAGTCTGCTGTAACTTTTAATTTAGCATATTCACTTCTAGTTCCATCCATCCATCCATCGTCAGCCGCTTATCCTGCGTACAGGGTTGCGGGGAGCTGGAGCCAATCCCAGCTGACATCGGGCGCAAGGCGGGGTCCACCCTGGACAGGTCGCCAGTCCATCGCAGGGCCACACAGAGACAAACAACCACTCACACTCACTCCTAAGGACAATTTAGGGTCACCAAGTAACCTAGACTGCATGTCTTTGGACGGTGGGAGGAAGCCGGTGTTGATTTATGCTTCTTATCGAGATGTGCTACTTAGTGATTCTGGGCATGCAAGCGTGGTCTGTTTCCACACCCATAAATCTGCACAACCTTGCTGTTGGACATGCCGTCGTAACATCAAAATATAATCATTATTAATCAGAATACGCTGCCCCTGATATCTTAAATAAAGATGGCATAATACAGTATTTCAACATGCTCCCTATCTCCTTACAGTACACATGGAGTGAGTAGTGGTGCGATATAAGATGTTTCTGTAGTGGGAGCTTTTATTGATGGGGGATATTAGTCAGAATACGCTGCCCCTGAAATGATGTTAGAATATAATCAAAAAACAGAAGATATCATAATACTGGGAGAGTTATAACATCGTGGGATTGGAAACACATATTGTCAGAACACCAGACAACTTGGAGAGAACCTACAAACTCCACACAGAAAGGCCGGGGTAACCAGGGTTTGAACCCACAACCTTCTTGCTGTGAGGCAACAGTGCTGTCCACCAGGCCACCTGCCATCCTGACAGCTTGATCATCTATTTAATTCTAACCAAAGCCTCAAGAAACCGTTTCTCACCCACCGTCTTGCTGTTGAATGCATCTAACACTACATGACTGTCTCCAACTCTGAGATTTCACTTCACTATAACTACAACGTTTAGCATTTTAAAGACATGCTAAGTTAGATCACTTGAACTCCTGTTAGATTCTTGTTCAGCTCGTATTTATTCACATGTTCCTACTGCTTTAATCATTTCTACTGAACTGCGGGTGATATAACTCAAATCAGGCTACAAATCAAAACATCTTTGTCCAACAACACAAAACTTCCAGGATATGTCCACATAAGGACCTCACACATACCGGAGAGTTTCATTCATATTGACCACTAGGGGGCACTACAAATAAATGGACGTGGCATAACACAAATGAGACTATAAATCAGAAATTGTTTGTCCAGTCTGGCAGGATGTGTTTCATAACAATGTTGAACCACATGTGTTAAATTTAGTTTTATTTTTGCGTTAGCACTAAAGAAGCTTTGAGAATGAGAAACTAAAATGAATGAAAGTGTCCAACAGTCAGTGTTTGTAAGAGAAAGGATTGAGTCATTATCACTCTGCTGTTCCATGAACACGCTCCCTCTCTGGCCCCTCAGTGAGTCTGAGCAGAGTTTTCCAGCCTGCTTGGTAGTTTTATCACAGAGGAAACTGGGCTTTCAGCAGGTTTACGGCGCTCAGACTGACTCATCCTCCACCACCAGCGACGCTAAACACACACAACGCCTGGAAATATTTTCACAGTCGCTGTGGAAACACCTATTAAAGCCAAAAACTGCATCAACTTTTCTAACCTTCTCCAGCGTGGGGTCTGTGAGTGCTGCTAAAATGAAACAGCCAGTTATTGTACAGACTCTGGATGCTTTCAGAAACCTGAAA